GAATCTTCATTACCTCTGTTTTCTCTATGTTCACCTGAAGTCCTTCCTATGTTTGATGCTTCTTCTGCCAACTTGTTGCTTTTGTGAAAACATTTATGATTCATTATTTCTGAAAATAATCTGAAATAAACTTGATAATGCCAACAACTGAAAGATCATTATTCTCACCAAGCTTACTGACTGATGCTGACCATAAAATTTTGAATGCGAATGCCTAGGTGATTACCGGTTGAGCTCTGAAAATACCTCGAACCGTCTGAGCGTATCACTTAAAAGTGCGCACTGTCTAGTATTTTATTGCTGATCTAGCAGGAATAAAGCAGCAACAATTCTCGAGGTTCATAGTATCAAGCTGTGACTGGTGGCGTGTAATTCTTCCGTTATACATATGATGAAACGTTGGTTTTCTTTACAGTAATCTGAAACATTCGACTAAAAGAGCACCGATGGCCGAGTTCTGTTATACTCAATATGATAAAAAGAAGTTCAGCATGGATTTCCTTTCTCATACAGCATCATAGTGACTATATACATTTTCTCAATAAATAAACTGAAGGAATATATCGCTTGACTCGGAAGTTGTTGTTTATTTTTAACATTTCCACAGATTTGTCGAGTAGTTCTGAGTGTTGAAAAGTACCGAAAAACCTTGATCATACACACGCTAATCATCATCATCATCATCATAGTTCTACTTCTGTTTGAAGAGGCTGACAATTGATTAGATATATCTCGGGGGATTACTTCCAAATTATTTTATCTCCACTATTCTACTTTTTCTACAGCTCAGATGTGTATGTGTGTGTGTGTCTGTGTAGGCGGAAGAGAGTAGAAAATCAATTCATACAAAACCCTGCTTGTCAATATAAATTTCCTGAAAAATTCCAAAAATATTAGTCCGGGACAGAAAGGAAATGGAGATGATTATCTGTATAGGAATAACGTTGAAATATACAGAAGCCACTTGCTATTTCAACCTAATGAATATTTAACTTAGGACAAAACATCAAAACAATTCTCTGTATTTACTGGAAATAAAAGTCATTTAATATGCACAGACTGAGGAATATTTATCCTATAACAATAGTGATGATTTATTAGCCTTTTGTAGTTAGGAATAGAGCAACTTTCAGATCACTTATGGCTTGTTAATATAGTTTTTTTTTGAAAAGTTAAATGAATAATTCCACAGTATATATTAGTTCATCACCTGTCACACAAAGCAAACTTCGAAGCGATAAATTAGGTGATAAAATTACCTATTGGTCTTGATAATTATACTCTGATGAAAGATGGATAGACGTAAAAGTGATCACATTTGCTTATATTTCATTTCAGAAACTAATATCTGTGATAAGTGAACGGAGAATGAGAAAAGGTAATAAATCATATAATAAGAATAAACTCACACAACTTATGTATCACTGGTTTTCAGTAATTTTCAAAACAGTAATGGGATTACGGCGTTAGGGTGAATTTGTGTACATATGTCACACTTTTAACAAATGGCACGGTTATTTCACCTGGAACAATTGCTGGGATTAATGGATTTAAGCCAGTTCTTAGTCTAAATCCGACATTAAATAAGTTTATTTGATGTAACATTTAATGAGTGACACAGTACCAACATTTTAATGACATATCAAGCACAATTTATTGCTCATAATCCCAACATACACTTATCTAATGCGGAACTAAATTCTACCATACTGCTCAAGTTCTAATCTCACATTAGTTTTTAGTGTAATTTTTGATTAGTCTAACAGAGTGATCAAGAGGCTATTTAGAACACCTGAAAGACAACTCAATCTTTTAATTATCCTGATTTCGTCAGCAGGGATTCGAAATAATATTTGCCGTTCTTAGGGAAAGAACCCTTAATTAGGTGTAGCGACTGGATAATATCTTATCTAAGATTTAAACTGCGTATAACTACTCTCTACATATAACAAATACATTTCGAATTTCTAACTTAAAACTGGTTCAATTTGAAGCAAACACGAATCCAGATATATTGATTCACCACCAGGAAGTAACGAGTACATAGTCTTTTGTTGTGACCAAATTCTATTGGTTTAGTTTGCAGCTCATTTTGAATTGATTCTGAATGGTTGGTTCAGTCCGTAGGAAAACCTCAGCCAATTAAGCATCCACCCAGCACCTACACGATATCAGATAGAAGCTGGTGACACTGCTGGCACAACCTGTTTGAAGGCGCCAGTAAGTATAATAAACGTGCACGTGCTGAAAATTGCTTTTCTCTTCCCAACAATAACAGGATGAAATTGACCACTGAAATGTTCTTTTTAGAGCAGATGTTACCGACCACATATGTTGTATATTATAAAGGCGCAAATGACACGCATTTTGCGTAAGTTAGTTGTTTTAAAAGGACTTTATACCTGAAGATAAGTCATCAGTAGACAATAATTCTCCCATCTGTATTTGTAACTATTCGTGTATTTACACTGTACTATGGAGTACTATCAGTTTGACGCCTACAGCCTTATAAATAACCTCAGTTTTAGGAAGATGTATTAAAGAAGACCTCAAAAGAGCCTTTATTTATACTTCCATCATGAAATTCGTTATGAAGAGTCTGAGACTACTTCTTAACATTACAAAATCCTAATTTGTATTTGCCTAAAAGGTCAAAATGTTTTGACAAATATAAATTCTGGTCTCCATTAAAGTGAAAATTTTATTCTTACGATACTCATGCACAAATTACAGGCGGTAGTTGCTACTTTTACACGGTTGATCACCTCCTTAATGTTCTGTTCCTTACTTACATAAAGTCAGTAGTATTACATCATTTATTGTTGCAAAATGTTCTGATATGCAAGGGGGTGACTATGAATGTTTCGTTTATGAAGAACAAAATCTATCCACGGTATTAGCAATGATCAGAGCTGTATGTTACGAGAACTATCACAGATAGTTACACCTGTGAAAAAAGCAACTGTGTATCCTAACTGTTGTCATTTCAAAACGGCTTACTTTTAGGCAGTATCATAGAATGACTGCATAATTTTATGCTAATATTTAATATGTCCAGATGAAGAAAAATATCATTACTGGCTTCAGTTTTTCATTTTGCGCTACATTTGTCTAACAACCATTCATCATATTCCAATAATACCTGAGTGTTACCCACGAATATCGGTCAAATCACTGCAATATGAAAGCGCTGGTAATTTGTATTGGACCTACATCCCATCGTTATCATGTTAAAATCCAAAGTTAAAGTGGCCAAAAATCTGTTTATAATTTTATGTGAAAAAAAGACCGTTTATCATTTAGGCTGATTGTTTCCCTCACGGTAATAAGCTATTCAAATGCACTAGGATAATTATGTTTATATTCCAGGTTATTCATAATCTGATGTATTTGAAAAGCATAACAGCTTACAAGATAGCATCAAGCATATTTTATACACGAAGCAATGGTAAGTCTTCATTTTTATGTGGAAAGCTGAACACTGAATGCTTACTGAACCACAATTGTAATTCTTTCAGTATCTATTTTAGGCGGTAATCTAAAACAAACGTAAGTTTTCCTACATGTTTGGATCAGTTCTCGATAAAGCTACATAATATCTTATCAAATACTTGGTTAATTATCATTTGTGATAGTGGTATGCAGTTGAATACAGAGATTATTCATAGGATTGGTAAAACTATATTTCAGATTATTCATATATATTCACTTACTTATTAGTTATAAGTTAAAATAATTACGTTACGAAGCATTGTGAAGAGAACAAAATCCGCTCTTCAATAGATGCAATCTCTCACAAGTGTTTTCAACGTCAGTAACCATTTTAGCTCATAAACTAGTTGACTATTACTCATTGTTAATAACGCATTTCGCTACTTTCTCCTGCTATCAAAGTTGAATGATTTCAAAGAAGTCTGAAAGTAGCATATATATATATATATATATATATATATATATATATATATACGTATATACATATATATACGGTAAGCTGTGTCGAAAAGTTTAGCCAAAAACCAACCCAGCGTGAAATCGTTCTGCATCACACTGTTCATTAGTCACTAATACCAATCATTGGCACTGCAAATAATAACTTCATAACGGATTTCGACTGTTGTGTAATGTCAGTAAGAATGTTTGGTTCAATCTCTCTCCAAGAAAAAAATTAATCCAAGAAAATTTGTTCGCTTTCATCAAAATTAAGAGATTTTAACCAATTTATGGTGAATCATCTAGATATTTTAGACTATGATGTCTTTTAACCGACTACACTGAATTTAGTAATGGATAAGTTTAGTTGATTTTTCACCTACCATTTTTAAGAATAAACTATTAAATAGTTATCAATAAGTAAAAAAATCCACGATAGTGACGTTTTACATCAAAATGTATTCCACAAGCGACTGCATTCTGTATGACGTTTAAAAAAAATCTAGATGGTTCTTTCTATAATAGATTTCTGACTATATAACCAAATTTTTTGAGTTAAAAAAATATTTTCAGTTAACCGACCTGATTTCCTTTTGTATCTTTGCATAAATTAGAACCGTTTCCAATTAAATCCTCTTGTAGTTTTTATTGACCATGACGAATTACAGTCAAACAATTATCTTAGCTTGTGCTTATTGACCAGATTAATGATATCACTCCCCATATTGTGTAAATTGTTCGTGTTCACGGTATTTTTTCCCGCTGCTTCTTAAATAAAGGCACACAGCTCCACAAATCCCAATTTAGTTGATTAATCGAAACTACATACCATGCCCTTCTGATTGGCTCTTAGAGTAGCGTGACCTTGGTGTGTTTGGCCAAACAGGATTGAAATTTTTTCTGTGGATAACTATAGTGATATGCAAGCAACATATTTTCTTCATTATGTGTAATTTAAAAGCATCACCTTTTTTCGTGAATTTTGAAGCACGGAAAAACGCTAGCCAGTCATTTAATGAAAAAAAAATGGATAATTCATTAATTCAGCATGTGGCTGTAGTGAGTTAGATATGCTTAAGATACAAGATGTTCCATCAGAGACAAGAAAAATTATTGGTAGAAATAATTCTAAATTTTTATTGTCAACAGAAAATACATATCCATGTGGCGTCATTCATGAGATGGAGATAATGACAAATGATAGCAGTAACAATTCCTTAGCAAACTGTAAAATTCATGGTGAAACTATTTTAGAAAAACAAGCGGAAAACAAGCAAAAGCAAAATCGACATACACCAAATTTCAAACAAAGTAACAGGCATCCAGTTTTCAAAAGCAGTAATCAGCATGATAAATCAAACAGTGAAACAGACAGAACAAATGAGGATGTAGAGAAAGGAGATGGTGATAATGGCGACAAACAAAATAGTGCAAAAACTGTGAAGAAAAAATGGAAACACTCTGTAACATACAGTGATAATGTAGCGGAAGCTGTCAACGAGCCTGTGGATAACGTAATCAATACTTATAGTGTAAATAACTACAGCGGCTCTTCATCATCTTTCTCCTCATTAACTGAAAGTTTCACATCACAGAAGGACGCCAATTCAATATCCCCAGAAGCACATCTGTCGAAATTGAAAAAAATACACCGCAAGGCATCAAGACGCAAAAAGTTAAAATATTTTAGGAAAATATTTTATTTTGTATCAATAAGAATCATTCTTATGACTACATTAATTGTAAGTCTCATATTCCTTTTGGTTGGATATTTGATAAGTATAAGATATATGATGATTACTGGATGTATACTGTCATTGGCATCAGCTGGTTGTTTAATTCAATTATGCTTTTCAAAACGTACGGGTCCAAATAAATTTAATCCTCAATCTGTGCCATTCGCACTAGCTGCTGAAGACCTTCCACAGACAACAGACAAAACCATTATTTCACCATTATCAATAGCAACACAGAACAACTCGAACACGGTATTCAATAATAGCAGTGCTTTAGCTGAAATAAAAGCCGACAATACAGGAAAACTATTAACTGTCTCGAATGCTTCATCTACTGTACACTTGACTCCAATAACAAACACACCATTAGTCATTGGGATTGATCAAATTCAAGCTAGACGTTTAAGTATGGCACTACAACGTTTAACAAGAAATTCAATCCAACCTCAATCATCATCTTCATACAAAAATTATGAAGGATCAGGGATGCTGAACATGGCTAGGCGTTTAACAATGGCCAGCTCAGCTATCGCTATGGCTGGTAATGATCGTGATTATTATAGTCACTCATCATGGCTAACTGGGTCCAGAGTTAGACATGGTGTACGACGCAGCTTGGCTTGGAATGATTCTGGTGCGACAAGATTTTATGAACAATGCTATGATTAGTGAGGACTTATTTATAACTTGAAAAATAATTTGGAAAGATAACTGTTTATTTTGGTTTTTAGATGATCCAAAAAAATATATTATTCAGTAAATTTGTACTATATATAAAATAAACCGAAAAAGCTCATTTTCAGCCACTTAAAATCTTCCGTGAGTTATGCTTCGATTGTAATCCAAACGTATTTGTCACTATTATGTCTTGACTTATTGTCATCGGTTTATAGTCAAGAAATGCTTGGTCATGATAGGCCTGTTTGTGTATTTAAATCAATAACTTTTCAGACTAAACTAAACTGCCTAAATTCATAGAATCTGTCTAAGTATATAGACTTTGCAGATACTTTGTTGTAATGTGGGTTTAAATATTCTCTGTTTCGTGTTTGTTAATGCTTACCAAGGTGTACACAATCTTTTAAATTTGACCACTTTATATTTCCACTGTTGTAACAGTATTTGACATGCTTTTTTATTCTTTAAGAGTACATTATTTAATAATTAATCAGCTGTGTAGATGAGGATTTTTATTTTTTTGAATAGACTAAATGAAACAGGTTTCGTTGTTTTTAAAGGGAGTTTTTTAAACAAATCTGTTAGGAGTTTTATAAGGCATTTGTAAATGCAAGACTAGAGCACAGTATGTTTGACCCTATCATAAATTGGTAGCACTTTGTATTTCTGTGGGGACTCAAGTTATTTATTGTTTATAATAATTAAAAACAAGATTTAAGCTTGGGGATCTGTGTTTAATGCAGGACAGTGCATTTTCATGCCACGTAATTTATGGAATACTATGCAAACTTCATTAATGAACTTTTATTACTACTGAGAAATGTATACAACCATAAATTAGGGTGATAAAAATACGGTCCTGGTTGTAGGAAAGAAAACGCGGATGAGTTCTAATATGGAAATAAAAGTCAATTTTGCAAATTGATAGTTAATTGTTAATGATATGCAGGTGAATAGCTACCCAGTTCATATTTTATAATCATTGCAACTTCACCTATAGAAAATGAGATAGGTTTAAACTGAATGTAAATTATTTCAAGGTTAGAAAATAGGTAGTTAAGGTTTTACTTAGGTGAGTGTTATTATCTCATCCGGGTAGAGGGAAATCCACACTGCATTTCATTTCTTTTCTGTTACTGACTGAACTTGGTAGGTGTATGAGTTATCCTAAGTGGTATCTATAATCGAAGTCTTGTAGTCATATAACTGTTAATCCATTCACTTTTTTATGCATGAAAAATGGGGACCATACATCATCTTTATGCTATTCTCGTGGTATTCCACTCTGTCCAATGCTAGATATGATAGACGTCTTCGATTACTTGTAAAACATATAAATATATATATATAGACAACTGTGTGTCGAAGGGAAAAGGAAGTGAAAAGTCTATATGTGTGATATTTTTCAAGTCTACAAATGATTATCTTAGGAACGACTACTTAATATCCCATTTTAAAAGTATTAACAGTGGGAGATAATATAGTCCTCTTTTACAAAACCTGAGCTTATCTTCAAACATTATTGGATTACGTCATAATAATTGACAGGCAGTTTTATAATCGCAAGGTCTAGAGGTACGTTGAACACTGTAGAATTTATGTTAAAAAACTGTGAAAAGCTTAGTTGACCCTGTGATTTTTTATTTGATTTCGACAGATGATTCGGAATTTTGTCACTTCGATAAACTCAAACTAGTGAACAAGAGATGGTTAATTACGTAACATGTATACACTAAAGTAACTGTATCCACCAAGTGTTTTTGCAAATGAATCACTAGGCACACACAGACCAGACAAAAGCTACACCATATTTTGCATAGTTTCAGACTTCGCAGACAAGTAATCAGCTTATGAAATACTCGGTAAAGCGTGGAAACATCAGCAAGGGCGATAATTTTGTTGAATGTAATTAAAATGTTTTATTCTATACAAAGAAACCTTGCATTTTTCAATCAAATATTTAATTACATTGCACCCAAGTTGGAAGCACCGACAGAAATATATATATATATATATATAAAGAGGGAGAGAGAGTTAATAAGCTTTTCTCATCTACGTGATAACTGATATCTACGTCTTTATTTCTTCCTCATAGTTGATTTTAGCACAAGGATATTTGTAACTAATTTGATATACTGATCAGCAGACTTCACTTATACTTTTGAACTGCCTAGTTGTAAGAATAACAGGAGGACTATTCAGATAGACAAACGATAAATCTGTAGGTTGTTTTTCTTTCTGGGATATTTTGCAATGTCAGTCAACGATCTTTTAAAAGAAATGTTGCAGTATCATTCGCCTACCAAGCAGGATTTCTACTATTTGGACAGTAGATAAGAATTCATTGTTTATTAACTTGTAACTTTGTGTGATTCACAATATGCCATTAAAACAGTCTTAATGGCTGTTTGATACGAGGTGTTTCTTAGAACTGGAACTAATGGTTTGACTGCAGGAGAGCTTATTGGTAGTGATGACAAATTATTCAGTACATCAACTGAGGGGCTAGACAGTGTTTAGGAATCCAAGTTGGCTCGATCAAAGTGATAATTCTCGTTGGTCTGAACAATTTATTTGAGTGGGAACAAATTATCGGAATCAATTTGACTGATAGTGGATCAATGATTCTGGATTCGATATTTGTGCGAAAGCTAAGAGGGGTGCGGTGGGGTGGTAAAATGCGTAAATGAGAGGACGCTCGGAAAAGGGTCATATCTTCACCTTTCGCCAGGTTCTAACTATTGATAAACTTACATGTGTCCAGTGCGTCATACTAATAGAGTAGAGGGGGGCATTTAGCTTCGTCGATTGGGAGATAGCGCAGCAATCTTTATTTGTGAAGTATGCGCCGAGAAAGTACGTTCTGATAATCAAGACGTGTATTCAAATTCCTGTAGGCATGTAAGGGTTATCTTCTGAAGTGATGTCTATCATGGATTCTTTCTCCTACCATTTTCGTTGAATTTATCATAAATGTGGCTATAGAAGTGATCTTATTTTTAACAGTGTCTCAGGGATTGACATGCTATCAGGGAAATGTCTCGTTAGTGGTTAAAATACACATCATATATTCCTTTAAGATGAAGACGCTTAGAAAATGTTAAGTGTGGGATGATGCATCAGGACTGCAGTGTAGCGTAATGGCTGAATGTATTGAACATGTGAGTTATTTAGGAAGTCGCATCAGTCTTAATGGGGTGAGTGATGACAAAATATCACAATGACATCAACCAACATGCGTCACATTGGATTCTGGGGGGATATCTAGCTATCGGTCAAAGAACAGTTGCTGTCATGTAATGGAAAAGATTTGTGGTTCAGGTAGATGATTTCAGTGTAGTTGTGTTTTCTACACCGAAAATTGTCAGGCAAAATGCGAAATTAAACTGATTAGTTTTTGAAGTTTTGTAACTTGAGATAACTAGGGCATGGATTACTCCTATCAAATCACTGCCTTTCTCGGCTTGTTGAAATACGATACGGTTGGTAAAGAGTTGAAGGTAGTCAGACAAGAACTTCTCTTCAGTGGATAAAGTCCCTGACTATTGGTTTGAAGCACTTACGTAGGCGCAGAATGCCTGACTCAGATCCTCGGAATGCATCCAGTCGACATTTAGAGATCGTTGGTGACATAGTGCAAGGTCATCCACAGTGACAGGGATGCATTTACTGCTTCTCACTTTGCAGATTCCTAAAATCTTCACTAAGCTTCTTTTAGCAACTTCATTGTCCACATTTTTATTGGTCTATTGCAGTATCATAGCAATTCTTTTGTCTCATTTCATGTGATTATCTGAAGTACGATCACTTGAACTGTTTCACTTCTGTGTGAAAATCTACGTCGATTCATCGGTCAGTCAATCAGCCCGTGAATGAATAGAAAGCATTTGTGACTGGTTAGGTGAAAACATTACTGTACGAATACATAATCACTGCTCACACAGAATACCATTCTCTATATGAAGAAGTAACAGATTATTTCATTCCTATTTATTGTTTACTTGTCGATATGTGTATCTGAAAACTTGATGGCTGTGAGTTCTGTCTTTTCAAGAGTTGAAGGCTGGCCCGGCCGAAATCTGCAAACAATGATGTAGTATTCATCCACTGACTTTTGATTTCCTAGTATCTAAGGTAACGTCTTTAAGATGTTCAAGAAGTATACTTTTTGAATAGAATTATTAGAAGACGGAGATTATCTGAAAAATTTGATGTATTTTCGCTACACATTTTGAACAATCTGATCACACACTTACTTGTAGAGTCGATATATATGAAAAAATTAAGGGCAATTAAATTACACAAAGTGACAAAAAAAGGATTTAAGAATGATTAACACAACGTTTGGTAATCCAATCAAATAAGGATTACCAAGGTAGGTTAAGAGTAATAATAAACTGTTTTCGGATACACGGGGAGGGGAGGGGGATTGGTCTTAAGTTTGTGAATAGCTATAGCCTCAGCGTATTTCACTAAGCGCCCTTGACCGTTTTTTTAGATGACCTTAAAGGCTGAGTTAACATCAATCTTATGGTTCATCTCGATTAGATGTTTAGCTATAGACGCAGTTAGTAGTCTGACACCTGCATCTTTCAGATAATCTCGGTCTTCTAATAACGCTATCCAAATTCATAAAAGGGACTAATTGTTTTAAAGTTTACTTTTCATAATTTTGTTTAGACACATTGAACTTTGATGTCTTACACAGAATTAGATTCACCCCTCCCTGTTATTCCAGCTAAGTTAATTCATCTTGTAAATATTTCGGGATTCATACATCTGATTATTTTATAAAGGAATGGTAAGATTAAATTGATTTAACTTTTCATTTTGTTAACAGTCACTTCATTCGAACTTAAAATACTTCGTGGCAATCATGACAGATAGTATGGCAAAATTTAATTACAGCCATAGCTTTGCTACCACTGTAGGCACGACTGCATACCTTTCATTGATCAGCTTTTATTATTTCTAGCCATGTTAATAAAAACATGAGATTTTATTATTATTATTATTGTTTTCTGACTGAATACTTTCTTATACAGCGCCACACTTTAGAAAGTCGAAGAATGTAAATACAGCATGTTGCAATAAAATTTTTGTACCTTTTTATTGGTGGGATTAGTAAAACTGATTAAATTTGTGTTTTATGATATTTATGTAGCAAACAGCTAGAACACGGGGATTGATCTATACAGAACACATTTATTATTGATAATTGGGATTATTAAATGCGAATTGTGTGCTATTTCGCTTGTAGTTGAAAGCTACTGTCGTCTGATGCAATGATAAAGATGCGAGAGCAACTTTTGCTTTAAAAAAATACCTCATGTTTTTAACTTTAAAAAAATATTTCATTCATTAGAAATTCAGAAAAACAGAATGACTTCATGTTAATTTCTCATTTAAAACTCCACAACTAGCATTATTTCACCAGTTAATTTCGAATCAGAACGGAAAACGTGTAGTGTGGACTTTTAGTCTACGATCATACCCACGTCTCTAAATAAACCTGTTAGTAGTGTGTTACAGTCTCGGATCCTAATTTTCCCCAACATCAAACGCTTATACAGCGCGACCACTATACTGTACTACCGTCTAGTGTCTGTTCAGCTAGGGTAAATTTACAGATCAGGGATTTACAATCAATTATGCAGAAACTGATCTTTAACAAATGAATGGAAATGATTTATTATTCATTTTCTACAGTTTGGTTTGTAAGGATTAGTTATGTTTTACGGGTTGATCACGGATTGATATCAGTTAGAGAACCATTGAAAACCAGGGAGTACTGGACAGCTACTGTTTCATTCCAGTTTGGGAATCATCGGCAGTACGCACCCACTGGGATTCGAACCCAGGACCTTCCGGTTACAAGGCAAGCTCGTATACCATTCAGCCACTGGGACCCGATTCAATGGCTCATGAATTCTAACTTCTACCAATTCGTGATTTTAGCGCGACCCCAACTATTGTCGTTGGTGGGACATCCATCCACACACGTGACATCTAATTGGACCTCACTGGTCACGACTTCTCACTAGAACTCCAGGAAACTCCATCCTGTAGCAAGTCACTAGCGACCATCAGATTAATTTTCTGTAGTTTGGTTTGTAAGGGTTTGTTATGTTTTTACGAGTTGATCACGGATTGATATACGAGCTTGCCTTGTAACCAGAAGGTCCTGGTTTCGAATCCCAGTGGGTGCGTACTGCCGATGATTCCCAAACTAGGATGAAACAGCAGCTGTTCAGTACTCCCTGATTTATTATTCAGTCTGATTTAGCGAGGAATTAGCTGACTTCAAGATAGTGTTCATCAGACATCGGAAAATTGAAGCCTAGTAGTCTTAAATCTCTAATACTACTTTTGGGCAGAATATACATGATGCTTGACACATTTTATGCATTTATTGTTCTTTTGCACTGCATTTATTTTATTATAGTGGATTTCATAAAAAAATCATTCAGAATGCGTATGATACGATTTTTCAAAATATCTAAGGTAATAATCTTTTAATTTGTACTAATTCGGCATATTAAGGAAACAGTTAACAGCACCCAAGTGCCTCATTTGGTGCTAAAATGCAGGTCAGTTGCTGTTAAACAGTGTCTGAAACAGTACCTCTATTCAGATAATTTCATTTCCTCTAGTAGCTATTCTCCGTATGAACAAAATATTGTCCACATTAACTAAATAAAATCTATCATCAATGTTTCCAAGGCAGTTTTCAACCAGTATACAAGTGGAAAACTATGAAGTGCTTTTTGATAATAAAGTTTTCATTTCAGATAATCCGAATGAGACGCAGGAAATCTCGGTAATCCCTTATCAGACTACGTTTATTTCAGCAAGAGCCAACTTTGAACATGGAGACAATCAGAATGCTTAGACTGAAATATTTTAAGAAAATGAGTAAAATCAGATTTATCATTTGCAATATACACAGTTCGAGGTGAAAATTAATTACTCTTCTTTAGAAACCAAATATATTCAAATCTCAACATGTTATATATTTGATATCATAAATAATAATCAAGAAAGCCAGCTATGTGGCATGATGGTACTATACTACTGACTGATTTAAGTAGTTGAAAAGCCTAACTTCAAAAAATAGTACTTGCTAAATAGATCTAAACACCGAAGGGCCATTTCACACATTGGGGGTCGAGCTTGTCTCTGATGTACTGGGTAGGACTCAGCACAAATAGATGTACCAGCTTACACTACTTGTCCTTTGTTTGGATTGCTTTGATCTGGCTGGCAAGCACTACTGGTTTCCAATCCCACATATCAGCCAGTGATGTGTACCAAAATGAGTAAAACTGAAGTTGAATGCAGATGTGTTCCTCATGTTTTCCAGACTGCCTGGACAAATATAGCAAAAACGAAGATGTCTTGAGCAGTCTTCTACATGTAATGCAGAGATATGCCAGTAATGATAAACAGTAGACGATGTATTGCTGGACTATATAAATCCATAAGAATAATATGTCCATTTACTAGTTCACTGGTAGTCCTATATAACATGCTCTATACCGTCTGTCAGCCGTTAATAATACCTAGTGAAAATTTTCGGATACATATTTTACAACCAGCTGAAGGGGAGGCAGTTTTGACTGGTTCATATGGATGGAAAATAAAAACCAGTACTCTATTTTTGGCTAATGTCATTATCAAAATGATGGTAAACCGGAAATTATCAACATCAAAGTTTTCATACAATAAGCAGATCAAAGTGTCTGTATGCGGATAATTTTACGTTGTCAGATAACTCAAAAAAGACAACCTGGTAGGCTAGTTATGATAAAATCCAACGAATTACAAACTGAAGATTATAAATATATATATATATATATTTATCATCACAAATGTACTGATATCTTTCTATGGAGGAGGGTGGAAAATATCCCATGCTTTATTTTGTTATCCTTTATTAGTGTCTGTTACTGTTTACACAGCTCAGTTTTTATTTTTATGAAAAGTCTACTGTGACTGGCTAGCTATTTTGAACAGGTTCAGTGTTATCAAGTGGATCCTGTGACAGAAAAAAGCCTATTTTGGCCAGTCGTCGAATGTCCTGCAATTTTTTATGGGTTCTTTGCATATTTCATTAGCTGCTGTTTTCTTATCCTGATATCACAGGAATTTTATCCCAAATATACAGCGTCATAATATAATTATTTTATTTCGTGAATACAGTCAATACAATCTAATACAATACAATCTAATTTACATCAACTGAAGCTGTTTTTAGTTCTTATTCAGCCTTCTACAAAGTATTCTGATGTCACATTTCGAAGTTCTACTGTCTGATGTTATATTTGGTGTGCAAAATATGTAGCACGTTGACGATTGTAATTCACAATTTCAGAGTATTATTTACCCTTTGTAATTTTCAATTTTGAACCCACTAAGTTGGATATTAAGTGTAGATTTTATGGAGATATTTCCATATTATACTGTGTGTCACTTGGCTCCCTAAATGACATCAAGATAAAGTTGGGTAAAAAGATAAGAAGAGCAGAAAAAAGACTTTTTTCTACGTTTAATTCTTCCTGTTTTATATTCTGCAATGGTAATCAATGTTGTTGATTTACTTGAAAGGTCAGTGTGATCGATAACATTTGCACTGTAGTGATATGATTATCCTAAATCTAAACTCTTGAAATAAGTTGTATTTTTGAGAATGATTATCGTCCGTCTCCCAATCTATAGTTATCATTTAATAAAATGTATAGTGCATGGTTAGGTATTATTAGTCCCGTGATTTAAGGAAATAGAGTAGCACTGAATTAAGAAATAGGTTACAGTATTGACTGTGATTGTAATATACACGAAAAGGTCAATCAGTAATTTTTGAAGATAGATTCACGAGAGTGCATATGCACTTCAACTCTTAATAAGAATGTACGCAAGTTTCAAAGATTACTTTATAATTTATAGATTGAAAACACATTCTAAAAGGATTAACTTTAATTTTTAAGTTAATCAGGTAACAAGTTACAGTGGAATCATAGTAGCCACAACACACTGACAATTCAAACTTGTATACTGTTTAGTTGGAATGTTAGATTGCATACAGAAGTAACAAAGGATGGTGTGTTACTGTCTGACTTGATTATGAACAAATGTCAGTTTCTTCTATAGTAGATAATGTGAGTTTGTATTCTTGACCGATCATACATCTTTATACACTCAATGATTCGGCAGTGCCGTAAGTACATCAGTGTGTATCTTTAGGTGAATTGCGTAGTGTTACACAGAAAGCTGTATTGGTTTTCATGTGATATTGAAAGTTAACCAGAGAAGATGAAATGCCACTGTGAAAGATTCTGTTTGTGCATGTTCAATCATATTCTAAGATAAAACTGTTGAAACTGACGAAAGAAGAGTTGAAAGTTAGAGATGTTAACTCTTTGCAAAACTATCTGAGTTTATTTTTATGAAAATTACTAATTTATTTATTATTTTGTATAGATAGAAAACATAGAAATTGCTAACTATTGAAATCTATATAATAGATAAGATTATTGGTTAAATTACGTGATATCTCATCATCCGCTGAACCACTCACTTTGTAGAAGGACAGTCGCATAGAACTGCGTTCGCTAAAATTTTGAATACTATTTCATTTAAAACCTATGCCGCTTAATTTGCAACCACTTAGAATAATGGAAAATATATGCATTAGTGCTACCTTTTCTTCGATTTCCTAAAAGTGAAGTGAATATCTATCATTTCAGTTAACGGAAACTGTCATCGCATTCATCTCGTACCTCAAGATAAAAGTCTTCCAGAATTACTTCATATGAAGACTAAAGGAATATAAGGTTGTGGCCATAATCCAATCATACTGATAAGCAGAAACAGTAAAGATTTTATTCTGTCCAGTTGGAGTAGATTAGCCGCAGTTTAAATAACATTGAGTTATTGAAATTGCTGCTTAATCAAAAGAGTATTTTAAAAATATTTATACTTTATTCTATTTACCATTCCGCTGGGTTCCGAGTGGAACATAGAGCTTCAACAACACATCTCCACCTTCTTATATTTCCTCCTCTCCTCTTCATTTGGCTAACTCCACGATTGCCCGTAATCTCTCATCTCCTCCTCGCCACACCATCTCCTCCACGTCAACCTCGCACTGGACAACCCACTCGTAGTTTCCCATTCGCATTCCACTCGGACGATGGCCTGCATTGTGTGCGATGTCATTCGACCGTCTCCTCAGCGTTTCCCCAATCCATCTGCATTTTCTCCTACAAATTTATTGAGCAATCACCTCTTGGTCGGTTTGTTCCACTGCAGAGTTTCTTGTTGCTAATTCTCTCTGACCAACCATCTGATCATGAGTATGGAGCCAGAGAAGACAGCTGTTGATAAAAGTCTGAATTAGCCTGTTGGAAATGCTTTTCGTGACGTGCCTGCCAGGTTTCTCACTCACATAGAATAACTGTCCGACTTCACATTTGTGTTGACAATCCGAATCTTGTTGTTTATACTGTCTGAGTGCAGAAGATTTCCAAACCGACTTCAGACTTGCCTTTCCAAATCTGGCTGGCTCTGACATCTTCGTCCGTTCCATCTATGGCCAGTTGAAACGAAGCTTCCTAGAAAAAAATGAAGGAAGTAATTTCTGTCAAATTTCTCTCGTTGATGGTGTTTGGTACTGTCTGTCTGTCTAACTGTTGTCGTTGTTATTGTTGTTGGTGATGGTGGCCGCGGTGTTTGGTTACCTTCATCACCTCCATCTTCTCTTTGTGCACCTGCAGTCCTGTCTTCTCTGCCAACCAGCCTCTTCTGCCAGTTTGTTCGTTTTCGCCTGCAAGTCTTCGAGTTGGTGTGACATTAAACATAAGTCATCCACGTGCGAAATCCAGATCTTCTAGAGTTTTCTTATCGGTGGTCCAGAGTATTCCTGTCTTCTCAGTGTGAACGCACAGCCTGACGCATAATCCAGTCGACCACAATTAGGAATATCATGGGTGATAACAGGCAGCTTTGTCTTAATTCTGTATTCACTGAAAAGGCTTCACTGAGTTTTCCGTTGTGAATCACCTGACACTTAAGTCTCAGCGAAGCTTGTGATGTGAATATTATATATACATTTCATGTCTTCAGAAATGGCCTTAATAATACTCCCTGAAAAAATTAAGTAACTGGAGTGTTATTCACTGGTTTTTAATGCTATTCATAAGTAAAAACACAGTTTTTTTTGTTCAGCGAAGAAATTTCTTTTCAACGACTTCATTTTCAAGCTGTACAGTCGTATTTATATTACAGAAAAGGTCATTAAGTGGCACTAAATAATTGCTCAGTCAATATACATATATGTGATAAGAATAACGATAATTAAAATGTTATAAGGGGTAGAGTTGAAGTAGATAAATTACAAAATTATTAAAGATTGTTTTATAAGTGAATTGAAATCAAAAATGTTTTAAAAATGTCAAGTGTTGTCTAAAAATTTTATAAAATAAGAGTACGATTACGATAAGAATGAAGATGTGAAGTGAAGTGGAAAGAATTCAAGTGGTAAAATAAAATAAAGTAAAAACTAGAAAGAACATTACTATGACCAAGGTAAAGAAAGGGGTTTGACAAAACGTTTTTGAACACATAATTTAGGTTTCTGTTCATGTATAGCTAAAGCTTCGGCTATGCATAAGTGAAGAAAACGTAAACTTTTGGATTGATTCGATTTTGCCATGTAGATAACTTTGAAAGATGAATCACGTGGGGCTAAATGACCTGACTCTAACAGGTGATCACAGATAGACGACTTCGCAATTCTACGTTCGCCTTTCATTAACCAGACTGGATAGTGTTCAGCTACACGTTTTCGGAGATTACGCTTACAACGTCCAATATAAACAGCTCCACAAGAGC